GACTTCCTATCAGCTGGGTGCTCCACTCTCAGCTCTAGCCCTCTGTGGCTATGTCCTTGTCCATGGGCTCAAGTGTCCCCAGGTCTCACCACACTTTGGACCAACCAGCCCTTCCTCTTCTCTCTCTCATCTCCAAGTCAGTGGGAGTCAATGGACTGTGGTTGAACTCAGCCCATTTCTTCATTGCTGCCTTTCCCCCTCTCCCACTCACCAGTAGACCCATGGTCGCCGACAAGCTTACTTGCCTATTTGTGTGTTCCCTCTGAGTTTCAGTCTTAGAGGGGAGTTTGTCCTGAAGGAACTTGATTGCTTGCTTTGATGTCTTCCTGGCGAACAGCTTGCTTATTCTTGTAGTAGCCAATCATGCTGCCATTTCTGTTTTGGGTTTTTCCTGGTGATCTTTCTTTGATGATGCATCTTCTGTCACTTTAGCTGTTCTAGGCTGGTCTGCTTGTCGTTTCTAGCGGGAATGTCCCACCTCAGAAGGTTCTGGATGGGACTTACGATTCCAAGGTCCTGTACACTGCAAAGGCTCCACAAGAGGCCTATTTCACTGGACAAGTTCTAGAATTTAGGTATTCCAATCAGTTATAGGCTGAAGGTGGGCTTATAAGCTTTCTGTAATCATGTTTCCCAACATTCCTTTTTATCCCACTCAAGTGTCTATTTTACAATAGTAGGCAAGGGAAACCAATATTCATAAGACAGTCAAGCATCTTAGCATTATTTCCCCTCTTCAGACTATGCCTGGATCCCTGTATCCCAAAGCCCTGTTGTTCCAAGGTTGAGTATGCATCACTATTTACCTCTGTCCCACTTAGGACATGCAAACCTGTCTCAGTGTTCCCCTATCTATCGTGTTCTTCTGCCTCATCCCCCTTCTTGTGTATTGCCCTCTGCAAGGAGGAAAACTTTTTGAGAGAAATAGTCTCTTTCTCCATTTCTTCCTAGACCTAGCAGTTCCCCTTCTAATGTCTGCTTCTCTAGGAGAGACGCGGCAGCACGGTCCTCAAAAGTGGTGTGACGGGCTGTCGTCACCCTTGAGGGAAAGCCATGTTAGCGGTGGACCCAGTGCTCGGCGTCTTTGCTCTTCCTTCTTCGCTGAGTTCTCCGAAGGGCGTTCCTCTGGAGGCCCCTTCCCTTCTATGGCCTAGGCTATTGAGAAGCCAGGAGGAGGGCAGCGGGAAGCACTGGTCTCCTGCAGCTGGTGACCGTGGCTGTGAGTGAGCCGCTCCCAGGTATACGACGGAAGCTGATGGAAAAGGACGGCTCTTGGGATCCTTCCTGGAGCCAGGGCCACACTTTGAATGGCCTCAAGGAAGACATGGCATTGGTCTGGTCCATTCCAATTCAGACACGTTCGAGATCGTGGTGTCCCTTTACCTCAGGTTTTTCTAATTCCAGCTCATCCTTGTCTCCTTTTGGTTACCCTTTGTCATTGTTAGTTGCCCTCGACTTGGGCTTGACTCATGGTTACCCCACGCACAAGGAAGCAAACCTCTGCGTGGCCCTGTACCATCCTGCGTTCAGTTGGGGATCGTACCAGGTTTTCATTGGCTGACTGTTTGGAGTAGATTGCCAGACCTTTGTCATAGTCAGATTAGAAAACCTAAAGGGGGTTCTAGAATGCCCCTGAATCCTGTTCCGCTTCCTAGCTGTACACACACGTCCACCAACAGGCAGGCTGTGACTGCCAGTTCGGTGCATTGACCAGGAATCAAACCAGGGTGTCCTGTGTTGTCAGATGGATCTGTTTCCTCACACCGCTCTGTCGTCACTCTGCATAGAGTCTTCTTAGAACTGCAGTGAATTTTGATCCTTGTCTCTCTAAATCCCCCATCCAGTACATCCCTACTGAGAGAGGGTGGCGTGTCTGTGTGTGTGCAGTGAGGGCATGGTCAGCATGTGCTTCACTCTGTGCCCAATTCCCTCTCTGCCTCCCTCCAGCAGAAGCATTTCTCCAAGTCCCCTCTTGTGGGCAGTGTTTTGTCTTTATGTTCAAGCTCTGGCCCCACATTTGTTCTGGTTCGCTTTCATTCCCAACCCCTCTTCCTCCAGAATCTTAGGATTCAGTGCAGTGAACTGGAGAGAAAACTAGACCCTCCATGCAAGTACTGATTTACTGAGTACCACTTAGATGCTCTGCATCATGCCTGGGGCTGTGGGGAAACTGGGAGATGCAAGGAGCTACAGCTTGGAGTGTCTCTTCAAGGTGGGAAGAGAAAATGGATGTGTGTGTCAAGAGTACGACACAAAACCGGGTTAAATCTCATGTAAGGCATGGTCTGTATTTATGGGGACCCCCTCCCAGTCCTCCTCAAAACCAGGTTAAATCTTATGTAAGGCATGCTCTGTGTTTATGGGGACCCCCTCACAGTCCTCCTCAAAACCGGGTTAAATCTCATGTAAGGCCTGGTGTGTGTTTATTGGGGACCCCCTCCCAGGTTCTCCTCAAAACCGGGTTAAATCTCATGTAAGGCGTGGTCTGTGTTTATGGGGACCCCCGCCTAGTCCTCCTCAGGACTGGTCCCTCTGGATGAATGAGGTAGGAAAGACAGATGGTACATGATTTGATCATGCTACCAGCAAACCGGGGAGTGTGGTGGCTCTGTAGGGTAAGCACTGGTCTGTGAACCACAAGGTCAGAGGTTCGTGCCCATCAGCTGCTCCACAGGAGAAAGATGAGGCTTTCTATTCCCACAAAAAGCCTTGGAAAATCCTGTAAGGGGCATCATGAGTTGGAACTGATTTGATGGTGTTTAACAACAGCTGGTAGTGTAGTGGTTACGAATTGGGCTGCGAACCGCAAGGTCCGCAGTTCGAAACTACCAGCTGCTCCGCGGGAGAAAGATGAGGCGATCTGCTCCCGTAAAGATTTACAGCCTCGGAAACCCTGTTCAGGGTCGCTATGGGTCGAAACCGACTCGACGGCACTTAACAACAACAACAACAACAGTATTAGCCCTAAATGTGACACTCCGGTGGCCCAGTGGGTTTAGTGTTGGACTCCTAACTTAAAGGTGGTGGTGGTTGTTAAAGGCCGTCGAGTCGGCTCAGACTCTTACAGCAACCCTGCATAGGGTTTCAAAGAAGCAGCTGGTGAGCTTGAACCACCTACCTTGGGGTTCAGGCCGACCTTGCGGTCCAGCACATTAACATGCAGCAACATACTGGGACTCCACCCCCTGCTCTGTGGGACAGAGGTGTGCTTGCTTCTGACAAGAATGAGCGCCTCTGCACCTCCAGGGAGCAGTTTACAATGTCTTCAGGAGTTGCTCAGAGTCTCAGTTGACTGGCCTGCTGGAAGGCGTCAGGGCTGCGTGGTCAATCCTGACCTGGAGCAAGGGAGTGCCCGCAGGTGTGTTTTGGGAACTGCCCAGTATCTTTTGTCGTTTGTTACTGGGTGTGTTTTCAGTGAGGTGGTGCCTCAGTGTTCAGTGAAGCTACTCAGTGAGATTTCTGGAAGTGTTCTGAGATGCTCTTGTTGTTACGTGCCATCAAGTTGGTGCCAACTCCTAGCGACCCTCTGCACAACAGAACAAAACACTGCCCGATCCTGGGCCACCTCACAATTGTTACCACGCTTGAGCCCATCGATGCTGCCACTAATCCATCTCGTTGGGGGTCTTCCTCTTTTTCTCTGACCCTCCACCTTACCAAACAGGATATCCTTCTCTAGCGACTGAGATGCTCTAGTCTGATGCAAATGAAGTTCTTGCCGCTAAGCAAATTTATCTGCTGCCAGGCAATATGTGAAACATTTACACAGAAGCTCCCAGGGGTGGGAGGGCGGCAGGGAAAGGAACTCACTGGCTTGATGATAGATGCATTAACTTGGGTGGTGGCTAGAGAAATAAATATGCAAAAAGGAGGGTGGCCGAAGAGTGAGGGGGCCGGGGAAGACATGAATGGGTGCAGAGACTGAGGGCAATACTGTTGTGTGTACACCTCTGCAGCAGCAGTGATTTCCGGGGAGATGCGTAGGTGGCTGCACAGGCTCAACTGGGGGGCAGTAACTGATTTACGGGGGGATATGTGGGTGTCTACACAGGCTGAACAGGGTTTGGGGGGGGGCTGCGGAGTGCAGCTTTGACAGGATATTTGTGCCTTTGCTGCAAACATACCTACGAATGTGCTGGAGCAGACGGGGCAAAATGAGGAAAACTTTTTATGTATTACCAAAACCTTGAGGGCATGCGTTGCTAAGCCTGGAGCTCTGGACACCATGGTCAGCTGGTATAACAAAGGCCCCAAAGACAGTGTTCTACGCCCTTCTATGATGTATAGTGACTGGGATCTTACAAGCTCATGAGCAGCCATGTTTGTTGTAACTATTGGTCCCTCCCTGTGCGGAGGAAAGAAGAATGGTGAAAATTAAAGACGTTTGGAATCAGTCCAGTGGACTAATGGAACACGTGACCATCAGTCTCCACAACCCTGAGACAGAAAAGCTAGATGATGCCCGGCTACCCTACCACCTGTTGTGAAAGGGATCATAGAAGGTTCTGGATAGAGTGGGAGGAAATGTGGAGCAAAACTCAAACATTTAATAAAGACTGGGCTTCCTGGTCAGAAAGAAACTAGAGGACTCCAAGACAATGGCCCTCAAGCCACCCTGCAGGTGTGGAACTCACCCTATGACTCCAGGTTTGAACTAAGCAGTAGTGAGGTACACACACCAGGAAATGGCCAACCACTAAAGAGATGGCTAGGAGAGCATTTCCCTGAGGACCAAGTTCAGGGGGGCAGGGAGCTGAGGAGGAATGGAAACACGCATCACCCGAAGGAAGTGGGGGAAGGATGGTTGGTGGAGGGGACTGCAGTCAGAGATGAAACCAACCAAGTGTGTTGGCTGCAAAACTGATGGTCTGCTCTGTACCCCTCACTCAATTCACAATAACAAGTCAAAAGTGCACAGGTACGTAGAGCGAAATGCCAGCCTGGTGCTTGTACAAGTGCCCTGATGTTCTCTGTGAACCTTGTTGTTTTCTTGCTTGTAGGTGTTTATTGGCTTTGTGCTAAAGCAGTTTGAGTACATCGAAGTGGGCCAGTTCAGGTAAGAGCATTTTGTTTCTTTAGCTTTCTTGTCGTTTTTGTGCATTTCTATGTCAATTTAGAATCTGATGATGAACGTATCCCTTAATGGGCTGTCAGGCAGCTTTGCATCAATAATGTTTCATTGGCGATGCGATTCACATGCTGTGCGTGCTTGTTTCCCTTAAAAATGAAGAAGGGACATCTCTGTAGCCTTGCATCTGGTCGTCTGTTTTCATTTCACGTTTCAAAGCTCCCAATTAGGATGTCAGATTGCTGCATGAAACTCCGTCTCCTGGGGCACTAATTGTTTTCATCTTCTTAGAGAAAGTCTTCCTTGGATAAACTTGTCTTAGTAGAAGGTAGTCATTGTGTCCTTTCTTAATCACCAACATTCCCTCCCAGATACTGATTATTTCTTGCTACACCGCTACATATAGATTTATAGGAGGGTAAGTAAAAATGTCTCACTGTAAAATCACCGTTGTTAGGTGCCGTCGAGATACTTCTGACTCCTAGCGAGTCATAGAACTGTTTATTAAACCCAGTATCCAGGTGGGAAGCTGTTTCTCGCCCATCCCCCACGTAGGTGGATGTGTGCACGTCTGAAGGAGGCCTTCCCCTAGCCCTAACCCTTCCTGCGCGGGGAATTGTGTGCTCTTTGATGTACACCACATCAGCATGGTAGTTTGGGTGTTCTCGAGGGACTCAGATCACATTCTTTTAAAATGGTCTTTGCGTTTGGGGAACGAAATGTCTGAAGGAGCAAGATGAGGACTGTAGGGTGGACGGGCTAAGTTGGACCAGTAATAGCCTCTTAGGAGAACCCTTGCTTCCGTCCAAGAGTGAGCTGGTGCTGCTCAGGATGTTCAGAAGTTTCCTGCCTTTTCCTAATAAGTGTTCATCCCGTCCTGTGAGATGGTCCAGCAAGCCCCCTGCCACTGTGACCTGAGCGGACCCCTCTGCCTGGAACATAACTGGCCCAGCAGATCCCCTCGGAAGCCACTGTCTTGACTGGCCCTGGTTTTGTTTAAAGCACCCTAAGGAGGCTGGGGGGGTTGTGGCTCCATACAATAAGCACTGGACTGTTACAGGGTCCACGGTTTGAACCTGTCATCTGCTGCACAGGAAGACAGATGAGACTTTCTGTTCCTGTGAAAATTTCAAGCCCTGGAGCCTCTATTCAGGGCGGCTGTGAGTTCAAACCAACTCCACGGCACTTAGCAACAAGGAGACCGAGAGAACTTTCTGCAGGCTTGCACTGATTGCAGAGACACGTTTGTGTAGAATGAATCCCGTGTCTGTATGAACTAGAGCGACCAAATCTCATAAACGTAATTAGTTTTCAGAGTTAAGGTCACATCTGATAGGATGTGATCCCACTGCTACTGAACCCACTCTGGCTCACAGCACCACTCGGTACTGTTTCCAAGGCTGTAAATCCTTACAGGAGCAGCACAAAGCCCGTTTTTCTCTCATGGAGCAAATGGTGGGTTTGAACTGCCGACCTTGTGCTTAGCAGTCCAGTGCTTACCCTGTAGTGCCACCAGTGTGCCTAGGGATGCATAGAGCAGAAGGAAAGGGTTCCAAGCCCCCCCCTCCCCCCTGCAGATCCAGAGACCAGGATTCGGGGTCTGGTCTCGTTCCAAGCCCCCCCACAGATCCAGAGATGAATCCAGATCCAGGATTCATGGTCTGGTCTCCTTTGGTGACAGCATGGCCATGTGTTCTTGGACAAGTTACCTTTCTCCTTTGGGTCCAGTTTTGTCTAAGGAATCTTAGCAAGGGGTCAGGGTGCTTCTCCACATCCCTTCCCAGGGTCCTGCTCTATCAGCACCCTCTGGGAGCCCCTGGTATACCCCGTGCAGTGGGGCTAGTCCATACGCCCTCCCTCCAGGGACCCCTGCCCCATTCTGTAGGCCAGTGGCTGAGTGATGTTGGTGGGGCACCATCAGATCACCAAGGCCCCTGTAGCTCCCTGTCTGTCTTTCTCAGCTCTAAGTTGTTCCTTCCCTTGTGTTGCTCACGTTGGTGATGTCTGTCCTGATTTCAAGGACCATGTTTAAATCGCTGGGTTTGTTTCCAGGGAGTCAGAGGCCATCATTCCAAACATCTTTTTTTTCTTGGTGTTGCTGTCTTACGAGCGCTACCATTCAAAGCAGATCATCGGGATCCCTAAGATCATTCAGCTGTGCGACGGCATCATGGCCAGCGGGAGGAAGGCTGTGACCCACGGTAACTGACCTGCCCATGGCGCTCCCAGATGTGTGCACACTGACCTTCCCTATAGTCTCAGATGGCAGTCAGTGGGTTCTCAGTGCACATGCTCCTGTTTGCAAACCCAGCTTGCCTGTACATGGTGATTCACTAGCCAGTCACATTGGGGGGCACTCTGACCTGGACTCAGGGCCTGGGGTCGTGTGTGGGTGTCTTACAGGAGCTTCAGTGTGGTCCACAGAACATGACCCACTGCTGACCTGCCTCCTTCCGGCCCATAGGGCGGCTGGTGGGGCTCTAAGAATGAGCTGTAAGTCTTTGAGTTTTTGAAGCTGACCTTCCAGCAGTTCCTGCTGCTCCTCTTGGTCGAGAATCTAGGTTTTAAACTTTTGATAGTGACGCACCCTGAGACCCTCGCACCTCCCCAGGTGCAAGAATGGCTTCATCGTGTATGGTCTCCAGGTGGACTTGCAGTTGGTCAGAGCGTCGAGCTGTGCTGAGAGACACTCGCTGAGTGAACCAGTCTTTCCACAGCCCGGCGATCGCTCTTGTGTGGTCCCAGGTACAGGGATAGCTGCAAATGCACATGGCAGCCAGGGGCCTCGACATGGAGCAGCCTGTGGACCTGGGCGTCAGCTGGAAGGCCCGAGAGAGTGGAGCTGCTCCCAAGGGACGTGTTTCCTGAGTGGCTACAATGTGCCTCTACTGGACTTCAGACTGTTGGATAAAGAAGGGCTTGATCTAATAGACTGACCTGACTTAAAATAGTATAGAAATCTAATGCTATGACTAGGTATATTCATATGTCCAAGAAGCAGGTATGGCTTTTTCAGCTGAGTCTGTCAGGAGACAATGCCTGAAACCAAGACTTTGATTACTGGCAAGGTTTATTTTTTTAACTGACTTTGGCGTTTGTGCCCCTTTTCTCAAAAGCAACGTTACTCCACGGAGACTCTGCCCCAAAGCTAAGAAATGGTGTAGTGAGATGTAGTCTTTATTTCACATTACTGCCCTGCATCATACGGCGCAGGCTCGTCTTCTGAGAGTACCTTGAAGTAGGATGTTGTTAGGTGCCATCCAGTTGGTGCTAGCTCATAGCTACCTATGGACAACAGAGAGGACCACTGCCCGGTCCTGGGCCCGCCTCAGATCATTGCTACTCTTGAACCCATTGCTGGTGCTCCTGTGCCAATCCATCTCTTTGGGGTTCTTCCTCTTTTTTGCTGACCCTCCACTCAACTGTGCATGAGCTCCTTGTAAAGGGGCCTCCATGCTGCTGACCAGTGCCCCTGTGTGCCCACAGCCATCCCAGCCCTGCAGCCCATCGTGCACGACCTCTTTGTTCTGAGAGGGACCAACAAAGCGGACGCGGGAAAGGAGCTGGAGACGCAGAAAGAGGTGGTGGTGTCCATGCTGTTGCGACTCATCCAGCACCACCAGGTACGCGGGGTCCCACCCCACACCTGTCCAGTGGATGGACATGCTCCCTGACGTTCTCAGGGAGGGGAACCAG